GGGGATAGCTTTGAACACTTTTTCTTTTCAGCTTATAAATTACTATATAATGAAACTATTTGTATTTTTGTTGTGCTAGTAGCTACAGATATTGATGTATAATAATAAACCACATTGAAGCATTATAACATATATATTTTATTTATATTTTAAAAAAGCACTCTTTATATTCAAAAATATCTCTCTGGGGGCAGTTTTGAACGCGTGATAAAAAAGAAAGATTAAACGTTTCTTACTAATTTATTTATACAAATAAAAGCCTCTTTTTTGAAAATATATTAAAAGTTGAAAAACAAAAGTTAAGAACTTTTAATGATTATGATAATCAAAATAAAATTAAAAACATAATAAACTCTGATCTTAAATTATCTAAATTTAAGTTTTAAATAGATTATCTCTCTTTATTCTTATAACTCCCTCTTATAAAAAACTTATAAAGCTATTTCTCAATATTTCGCATCTCAGTCAGTAGGAATGCGCGTAACGCTATTATCACAAAAACTCGATAAAAAGTGATGTTTTCCAGCAAGCGATACAATATGACACAGATTATGTCATCTTCATTTAATATTAGCAAATAACAAAGATTTACTGTGCTACACTATATTATCTGCATTTCTTGCTGAAAAAAATTGGACAATTCGGGAGATTAAAAAACCATATTAAATAATCTTTAAGTTCTATTGTATACATGTAGATATTGCATACAAATTATAGGTTACAAACTGCGTAATAGTTGTCCTGTAATAGTTTGCTAACTATTAAGTGTGGAAAGATATTTAAAAACCTGTATATTCGTACCTGTTACATTGTCGAAAGCAATTGCAAATCTGCAGTATAGAAAATTCTTATCCTTATGCTTGCGTTATAAATCTTATAATAATATGTAGATCGTGTCCGACGCTCATCAAACAATCAAACGTAATCTTATCATACGAGTTGCGAAGGAAGCTGAAGCTTATGGTACATACAAAAACGTAAGGAAATAAATAGTAAGCAAATTGGCCAATCACAGTAGAGACCATAGTCAGTAACAAATCCAATATTTCCAACGATTTCCTTACTGCTTATGTCTCACTGTCTTATGTTTTTGTATGTATATTTATCATTACCTATGTGCTATGGACTTTATGGGAGCTCGCGATTGAAATGTTCTAAGGTGTCCCGTGATTTGATTTGTTCAAACTCCTATGAGTACTCACATTGAAAAAATATATCTTATTTTGTTTACCAGAATATCGATAAAAACCAAATATTTTGTTTTTATTACATAGATATAAACGTATGAAAAAATACATAGCACAACAAAATGTTAATTATTTAATATAAACGTATGAAAAAATACATAGCACAACAAAATGTTAATTATTTAAGGGTTTAATTTTAAAATGTTTACGTGTGCGAAACATGTTTAATACGAAGGCACAAAAACACAGAATGCTTCTAGATTAGATAAACAATTGCAACTACCACTTAATGATTGTCTATGTCTATATTGACATTTCAAAAATTACAATTTGTAATCGCAAAAAAGGACAGTTTATTTTTAATTTATAAAGTTCAAAGCTGCCTCTGAACAAAGTCCCTTCTTCCCTATATATGTATATATATATA